TTTTTTTGGGGCATGTTGGACCCCAAAATTTATCCCCCCCCCGGCAAAAAAAAAAAAATTTTTTCCCCCCCCCCCCCCTAACGGTCCACAAATTTTTTTTCCCCCCCCCCCCCCCCCCCCCCTGCAGTTACCTTCCAAGCTTAAGGCCCCCACCCCGGAGGAGCTGGAGGCACTCAAGCTTAACCGCTCCCTCGGACGGGCCCTCGAGAACAACACCGCTCTCGCTGAGGCTGTGAGCAGCAAGGACGATTTGGTCAAGGAGCTCAACTCGCGAATCAAGCAGGTGGGGAGGGGTCACCGATGAGTTGGCTGGGGTCGTGCTCTCTACGCGTATGTAGTAGCCTCGTCCCGCCGCATTTTTGACCGCACAAGCGCATTCGAGTAGGTAGGCGGTAGGCTTGAGTTGGGGTGCGAGCTGAGCGCGCCTTGCTCTACTAAATACCGCGTCTATACTTTATTGGATAGAATGGCGTTACCGCGACCTTCGTCGGCCGGGACGGAGAAGGTTGGTTGGATCGCTGATTGGTGTCTGAGGTGCGGCTACGATTGCTGGTGCTGCTGCTGGTGCTGCTGCTGCTGCTTGTGGTGGTGCTGGTGCTACCGCTGCTGTTGTTGCTGTAGTTGCGGTTGCAGCGGCGTTTCACAGTCGAAAATCCCATACCGTCCAACAAAATACGCGCTGTTCCGCTTCACCGCACGGGTTTGTAGACCGGCACCCACACGCTCGTGCTTGGTCGCCTTCGGGGGGCGGGGGGTGACAATACGGCGGGGTTCCTTTGGCGATTGCAGAAAGGATATTCCTTCTAGGGCGAGCCGGGGCTTGAGTGGGGGTAGGGGATCCATGGGCGTGTGTGCTTGTTTGGGTCCATAGGGAGGGGGGGGGGACTGTGAGTAAAATAGGTACCACCGACTCACCGTGACCGTGCCCCACTCGGGTGTTTGAGACGATAGGGGGGGGGGGTGTACTCATAGTCGTGCATGCCGTAGTCGTTAGACCATTGACCTCGCATCCCTACAAAGCCGGGACGGAGCATGCCGGGTTCTCACCGGACCAGGCTCTCACATCACCAAGCGCGAAGCGCCGTGAGGTATTCGGCGAGTCGCATGAAGGATGCGCTGCATCCTGCTAAGGGTGTTCGGCATCTTGTGCTTACTTGCTTGCGTACGGGTGACAGCTGCGTATGACTTAATTTATTTTCTGGTGCTTTCACTTCCAGAGACAGTTGGAAGCGCGGTGTAACTGCCAAGAAAGGGTGCTTGACCAATTTAACACAACGTGCGATTATCCCC